GTTCAGACGTGTGCTCTTCCGATCTAAGCAGGAAAATAAAGATATCAATATATTGTTTGCATCTATATATTTTACAATCTATTGTAATATTTAAATCTATTGTAATTTTACAAATCCTTATAATAAGAGTAGATTTTGAACATTTGGATACTGAGTTCTTTAATGTGACATGATATGAAAAATTAATTGTTTTTTCTCCTCATTTCTCGATAAAATTTGATTAAAATCCTGCATAACCTTAACTCCTCGTTCTGCTGTGTCATTTACGATCACTTTAAGCGTTTTCACAATTTCCATATCAATTTTATTGAACAAACTGCAATTAGTAATTTTTTTAGAAAGTTTAAGAGAAAAATGTTTATTCGTCGATAGTTTTGAATTATAAAGTTTTCATGCACTAAATTTCAAAAATATAAATCATAAATCTATACTAAAATAAAATTTAAAAGAATTTTAAATTGAGAGTTAATTGCATAATTCACTCAGGTGTTTTTCTCTTTTTCTATCTTTCTCTGAAACATGGAAATATTGCCATATAATATTTGCAAAAAACAAACTTGATATTTACAAAGTGTTCCGAGAATTAATTTAAAAACTTCAAATTAGATGTGCCACGTCTTCCCGTTGTCCGATTGAGCTCAGCTTTTACACAATTTTTTTTTTCACCAAATGGAACAACTTTAAGGGGCGTCGTGAAAAAAATTCAAAAGTCAAAAATAAGGTCCACCCTATGTACATACATACATACATACATATACAGGACTATTATAAAATCTTCACGGAATTCTTATAGAAAGTATCTACAGAAGTCCGCGTAGACTCTTACGAAAGCTAAAATTAAGTTGCTCGCAACTTAAATTATATGCTACGCAAATATATATTTTATTAAGAAGTTATATTGAAAGGGTAAATATACCTGAGTAACGATTATATAGTTTATATAATTAATACTTAGGCAGCACAATTGTGCTGTACTTAACAGGCACAGAATACAGGAAAGAGTATGAATAATTAGGATAAGTTAATTGTAAAGTGTAATTACCGGTTTTATATCAAGGAAACTTTTATCTCGATTAAAATTTAATGTATTCATATATGTTCTTTTACTTTTACGATTTAATATATTTCATTATTTGAATTTTAACTGTTAATATGGGTAAAGCAAAGGGGTAAAGTCCCTCTTATTTAAATCTAAACAAATGCGATTTTGAATCATTATACTGGAATATGCATGAGCAAATAATTTTGACTGTAAAGCGAGGGGGTAACCACTCTTGAATTCCGGTGTACAACCTGTCAGAATTCCGTTGAATTCCGTTGAAATCCGATGTAATCGGCTGAAGTCCAGTGAAGTCCGATGTAGTAAGATGAACATGTAGTTCAATTTCTAAAAAAAAGGTCATCTTTGTTTCAATTCCTAAAAAAAGGTCATCAGTTTTGTTCGAGTTTTTTGAAAGTTTCGCCTTTGTCCGGACATTAACATTCGTCTGGAAGTCTGTTGAAAAATTTTGTTGGTGTTTCGAGACGAAGATGTGAAAAGTGGCAACTATATCCATAAAAGAAATCTAGTGAAGTCCGACGAAGTCCGATAAAGTCCGATGAATTCCGGTGTAGTCCGATGAATTCCAGTGTAGTCCGATGAAGTCCGTGAAGTCCGGTGAAATCTTGAAGTCAGAATACATATATTTTCTGAGTGGTTACCCCCTCGCTGTAAATAAGGAACGAAATGGGGTGGGTGGTGCTATCTAGTGTACGCTGGAAAAACATTCGGCGACGTAGTTCCGTCGGCGGACGTTACATAAATTTCCTAAGATTTGTGACTCATGGTTATCTGGGTATTGCGTCGCGCCGCTACCGCAACGCTTGATGACTTATTACCACTAGCAGAGAGGATCCGAGAGCGGACATGCCGGCCTTTTGGCTGTAACGCTAAAATGCCCTCGAGCACTATTGCCCTCTGAAGAAGTGGATCCAAATTACATAGCAAAATCAAGATTTCTGCACAATTTGTGGTGTGTGTTCGTACTAAATCACTTTTTCGAGTCT